AACCATTCCTCTGTACTCAGCTTCCGCACTGGATCTTGCAACCACCTTCTGTTTCTTACTTCTCCACGTGACCAGATTTCCTTCCACAAAGGTGAAGTAACCTGATGTTGATTTCCCATCAGATTTGTCTCCAGCCTAATCCGCATCGGTATATCCTATTACTTCTTGAGCTTGATTTTTTCTGAACCATAGACCTTTCCCGGGACCTGCTTTGAGGTACCGTAGAATGCGATGAACAGCATTCATATGGTCTTCACTTGGWGCATGCATAAAGCRGCTTACAACACTAACGGCATACGCAATGTCTGGGCGCGTGTGAGAAAGATATATTAGYTTTCCCACTAACCTTTGATATCGCTCTTTGTTAGTTGGCGTTTGATCCGGATGAATTCTTAACCCATGGTTCACTTCTATTGGGGTATCAGCAGGACGACAGTTCAACATTCCCGTTTCTGCCAAGAGGTGTAAAATATATTTTCTTTGACACATGGTTATACCTTGTCTTGATCGTGCCACCTCGATCCCTAGAAAATATTTTAGGGGTCCAAGATCCTTTAACTCGAATTCTGCTGCAAGGACTTCTTGGAGATTCGCCATTTCTTCTGGGTTGTTTCCGGTGACTACCATATCATCCACGTACACAATAAGGGCARTCACGTTGATCCCTTCGTGCTTGACAAACAAAGTGTGATCAGCATCACTTTGTTTGTACCCGATTTTTTTMATAAAGCTTGAGAATCTTCCAAACCATGCTCGAGGTGACTGTTTTAGGCCATATAGCGCTTTGTTTAGTTTGCATACTTTGTCGGTGCAATTTATCCCGGGAGGGGGATCCATGAACACTTCTTCTTCTAAATACCCATTYAGAAAAGCATTTTTAAYGTCATACTGTTTYAATGGCCAATCTCGGTTGGCAGCTATAGAGATAAGAATGCGGATAGTGTTTATTTTTGCTACARGGGCAAATGTATCTCCATAGTCGATCCCGTACTTCTGAGTGTACCCTTTAGCCACGAGTCTTGCTTTGTATCTATCGATGTTTCCTTTAGAGTCRAGTTTGATGGAGTATATCCACCGGCATCCCASYGTTTTCTTTCCTGGAGGAAGAGTCACGAGATCCCAGGTATGGTTCTTTTGCAACGCCCCCATCTCTTCGTTCATGGCATTCTTCCATTTTTCTTCTTTTAATGCTTCTTGCACATTATTTGGTATGGAGACAGCGGTTAGTTGGCTTACTGCAAGTGCGTGGGATTCAGACAACCGATGTGAKGACACATAGTTGTTGATAGGGTATTTCGCTTTAGCATTAAGGTCAGGTTGGTATTGTCTTTTCGGAATTCCCCTGTTTTGTCTGGCTGGGTATCTCGGTTCATTTCCTTGCAAGACAGAAGGATTAGTCGTATCACACGAAGTAGGGTCGGTAGTTACCTGGGGTGTCACCGTACTTTCAGGAGTATTTGGGGAAGCTATATTATCTTCTTCCAAGTTTGTGAGATTCTCGTCAACAGTTRAGCTTCCTGTTTCRTTGAMTTGTTCATCACTTTGATCCATTGGGCTTCTCGTCTCGTTGTTTGGTTCATCAAGGGTTTCTTCAATATTTTCTTCCAGGTGGTCACGGGTGTTTTCTTCATACGTATTTGTTATGTTCTCCCCCTGAAGAGAACAATCGTGGCCAAAGAATGGGGTGTTTTCATGGAACACGACATCACGGGTGACATGCATTTTTTGTTCCTTGGGGTCATAGCATCTGTATCCTTTTTTGAGGTCTGCATATCCGAGGAACACGCATTTAACAGCCCTTGGTTCTAATTTCCCTGTGTTTTGGTGTACATACGATGTACATCCAAACACTCTTGGTTCAAGATTTGGACTCATTGGTGCTAAAACAAGCCCGTGAAGTTTCTGAAGAGGGGTTTGAAAGTCGATGAACCGAGACGGGGTTCTGTTTATGAGGTAAGCTGCTGATCGGACAGCTTCACCCCAATATTCATGTGGAACTTTCATGTCAAACAACGAGGCACGRACAATTTCTAATAATTGTCGGTTTTTTCGTTCTGCCAACCCATTCTGTTGGGGTGTGCCTGCACATGATGTTTGATGTCGGATGGAGTTGGCCTTGCAAAACTGGTGCATCTCATGATTTATGTACTCTCCCCCATTGTCTGATTGGAGAACCTGAATATTGCAATTGTATTGTGATTTCACCATTCGGTGTAATTCCTGAAACACCTGACATACTTCTCCTTTATGTCTTAGGAGAGAAATCCAAACCATACGAGTGCATTCATCAATAAAAGTTACGAAATACCGAGCACCGTTTGGTGTTGCACTTCGGGCCGGGCCCCATACATCTGAATGTATAGTCATAAACGGAACCAAATTTTTATTATAACTAGGAGCATAAGAAATTCTATGGTTTTTCGCCATCTCACATATATCACACTTAAACTCAAAATCTTGTGTATTAAAAAATAAACTTGGTTTCAATTTCCTAAGGTAACCAAAGGACAAGTGTCCTAGTCGTCGATGCCACAACCACGCTAACGTCTTAGTTCCTTTGCTTATTCCAGTATTAAGAGCCTCACCATGATGTTCTTCAAGATAATATAGCTTTCCCCGTCTAATACCATAGCCAAGAATCCGATGTGTCGTGATATCCTGGAACATACACTCATCAGGCCAAAAAGTCACAAAGCAATTCAAAGTTCTTGTAATCTGACTAACAGACAAGAGGTTGAAGACAGAGAGGGGACAACAAGGACGGTGTCTAGATTCATGGAACTAGATAATTTCGCTGGTCCTTCATATGTTACCCGTGCTATTCCCCCATTGGCAGTAAGAATATCAGATTGCATAGGGGAATACATAGATATCAGTTGAGATGAGTCATTTGTCATATGATCAGTTGCCCCTGTATCAATAATCCAAGATCCTTTTTTAGAGTGATCAATATTTGACATACCAGATGTATTCTTTTCAACATGAGCTGCAACAGGAGTAGAAGGCTCCTCGATTTTTTCGGTGGCAGCAACGCTGGCTTGTCCTATTTTCTTTCTTGGTTTCTTTGAGAAATCCCACCAGTCTGGATAKCCAATGATTTCATAACACCGTTGTTTGGAGTGTCCGTCTTCCCCACAATGAGTASAAGTAAGGGTGTTACCTTTACTGTTGCTGTTTTTTCCTTTTTGACGGCTTCGAGTGGTCAGGTGAACTATGGCATCGGGTTCCGACTTGGGTTCTTCCATAGCGTGTCTCTGATTTTGGTCCTTTCGGACATATGCGTAGCTTGATTCCAGGTCAAGGGGCGGGTCCTTTCTCAGTATTTCACTTCGCGCTTGATTAAATTCCGGATCAAGGCCGGCCAAGAAGATATGCACTCTTAGACGGGCTAGGGTTTTGTGAAGGGATACAACGGCATTCACATTTTCTTCCTGATTCATAATACGAGAGTCAATTTCTTGAAAGATACTTACCAGTTCGTTGTAGTAAGCAGATAAGGGTCTTCTGTTTTGACGTGTGGTAAACGATCTCCGATTTAGTTCGAATAATTGTGTTTCGTCTGTACCATCATAGAAGGTTTTGGCAACGGCTTCCCAGATTTCTTTAGCCGTCCGAAGTCTGATAAAGCGTTGCATCAATTGCGGACTCATTGAATCAATGAGCCAACTCTTGACACGATGATTAWCAATGACCCASGCTTCCATCTTCTTTTCGTCTTTCGGTTTCGGGGTGGAACCTGTGAGGAACCCTAATTTGTTCCTTGCTCCAATTCGCATCTCCATAAGTTGCGACCATAACGGGTAGTTYTTATCATCCAAGATGATTCCGGATGGGAATGGTGCATCCTGTACATTCTGGACAATGACAGGAGGGGCTTCTTTTTCGCTCATGGTGAGGGTTTTACGAGTTTATGAAGGGTTCGAGATTTTTCGCTCTGATACCATGTAAATACAAAGAGAAGAGATGATTGCTTAATATTTTCTCAGTTTCATTGATTTCATTATGAGACCCAATATATATACAGGAGGAAACATAAATACATAAGGAAACTATCCTATAATTAGGAAACAGAAATACATAAGGAAACTATCCTATAATTAGAAAACATAAATACATAAGGAAACTATCCTATAATTATGGAAAAGATAAGTACGATAGGATAGAATCAATTTGAATCAATCCTATAATATTTGCTTATTTTATGGAGCTCTCGTCAACATTACAGAACACTATCCACACATACGCAAGGCGTGTGCAAGCGACTTGGCCTGTGACCTAGGTCGTGGCCAAGGTCACGCCAATCACATGTGATTTTACACACGAGTTTAGTGTAAAATCACATGTGATTTGACCGTTCTCTTTTATTCTCTTATTGGTTACAGTTCTCGTGTTCTCTCTCTCTAGATCTATATATATAATATTATGTGAATATATCTTGTTCTAATTCTTGTGAAGGGAGATTTTCATGCTGCTTTGAACTTTGCTGCGGTTATGGATGCTCCGGTCGTGTTCATATGCCGAAACAATGGATGGGCTATCAGCACTCCTGTCGTCGATCAATTTCGAAGTACTTATTCTCGATCTTCAAACTTTTGATCTCATTATCACAAAGTTTGTAAAAAGTATAGTCTTCCCTAATCGTCACTAAAATGACTTGAATACGGGCAGGCGATGGGATAGTCGTTAAAGGCCCAGCCTACGGAATTCAAAGTATAAGAGTCGACGGCAACGACGCTCTAGCAATTTATAGCGCAGTTAGCAAAGCTCGTGAGATAGCCGTCAATGAACAACGACCAATACTTATTGAGGTTCATATATATTCTTAATTCGGATTTATATCAACTTCGTTTTTGTTCCTATAAACTTAAAGTCTTACCAAATAAATTTTGAAAAATTAAGGCCATGACATATAGAGTAGGACACCACTCTACATCGGACGATTCCACCAAGTATCGGCCGACCGATGAAATCGAATACTGGAAAACGAAGCATTCTCCGATAACAAGATTGCGAAAATGGATCGAGAGAAAGGGTTGGTGGAGCGAGAAAGAAGAATCGGAGCTTCATTATGATCTCGATAACCAGGTGATTTTCAAGACCACGATCTGATTCATTGTACGAAATACCATCTGAGTTAAAAAAATGTTTAAGTGTCTTCATGCTTTATACGTATGACTTACGTTTATAAGACCAAGATTATGCATTTTTTATAAAAGTGTTACAATAAGTTTATAAGACACTTTTAGACATCTTAACAAGTTTTGTAAGGATATTTTTGAAATAAAACGGTCTATTAATTTTTTTTGACATTATTTGAAAAATGTTTAATAAACACAAATGTTCTACAAAAAGACGTGTTTATAAGACACTTTTCAAAATTGTCCTCTAAAAAACTAATTATACGATTCATCCTAAAAAATATAAATATGTTAACATGCCAAAAGAAAACATCAGATAAATTTATTGAACGTTTTTACACAATTTTTTTATTAACCTAGATATCCAACCCGTTATACAAGCCGATTAATCCCAAGGCGACTACCTGCTTTGCAGATAGTCCGGAGTCATCGCACTTGAACCTCCGTGGCCACAAGAGGTTTTTATTCTTCCTTAGATTTAAAGCTGAGACCTCTTAGTACTTTTGACCTTTGGAGTTAAGCTCAAACCAATCAGACACCATTCTTGTGGTTTTTTACACAATTGTTTAGTCTTATAAACATAAGTTTTATAAAACAGTTCATTAAGATATTTAAACATTTCTAATCCGACTTTATTAGCGTCTAAACCAAAAGTTAGTATTCTAACACAATTTCTATTTGCAGGTTAAAAATGCGATAGGAGAAGCTGAAAAAGCTGTAAAACCACAACTTAAATACTTGTTCACAGATGTATATGAGGATTTACCCACAAATTTAATCGAGCAAGAAAGACTACTGAGAGAAACAGTTCAGAGGCACCCACAAGACTTTCCGACTGATGTACCTCTATAAAATGTTTTTTTTTAAGTATTTCGTCTTTTGAAAGGTTGATGTAGAACGAATCGTAACTGAGATAGAGAAGCAGATAGGTCGTTGTCGCGTCAAACCCTGTTTACTCCTAATTTGGCATTTGATGTCCGTTTAACCATTAAAGCATGTTTATGGAAGCTGGACGATCCAACAAATTAAAATCATCACTTAGTCATGACAAATGGCTATTTTCGGCCATTCGGGTTCGTTTCGTGCCTTAAAACTGCGTATTTCCGTTTAATTTCCAAAACTTTCCGCTTTTTTAATTTTATTTCACATTTGTTTTGGGGTTTCGTCGTTATTGAGTATTTCAGTTTCCATATATTATTGCATTAGGGTTTAGTGTGTTCGGTTTTCATTATTAATAAAAACCTTCAAAGTCAACTTCTCTACCTCTTGAGACAGAGGAAAGGTCAATGTAAAACCACTACAACAATACTATGTTTATAGGACGCATTAAATGTTTAAAAATCCTAACCACAAGGGTGGTGCTTGATTGGTTTGAGCTTGACTGAAAACGTCAAAGTACCTGGAGGTCCCAGGTTCAAATCCAAGGAGGAATAAAAATCCCCTTGTGGCCATGGAGGTTCAAATGCGGTGACTCCGGGCTATCTGCAAAGCAGGTGGTTGCCTTGGGATTAGTCGGCTCGTATAGCGAGTTGAATATCCAGGTTAATAAAAAAAATGTTTAAAAATCCTAATAAAATGTTTTACAGGACATAAGAACTAAACAAACATACAACTTACCCATGCATTTGACCAAAATAGCACATTTCACATAAATGAGGCATTACGGTGGGTGTTTACCCCACATTAAATCCATTGGATGTAGAGGGAACCGAACCGAACCGATCCAATCATCCATTGGATGTTGGGTTTTGACAAGCGATCAAATCCAACAGACGATTTAAATTATTTTATTTTTATTATATTAAAGATATATGAATTTTATTGTTTTTATAGGATTTTTTATATTTTGATTTTGTATTTTTTGAAAAATCTTGTAATTTGTTGTTTTTGTTTTTAATTTTTTATACTATTTTTATATTTTGATTTTGTAGTTTTTTTAATGTTTTTTGTTTTTAATTTTTTATATATTATTAATTTAATGGGTGATTGGGTGTGTAATTGGATGCTAATTGGATCGGTTTGGCTAGATTTTGGTCGGTTATGAACCACCATCTAAAAACCGAACGATCCGATTTGGATGTTGAAAAATTGGATCCGATTACGATTGGGTGTCTAATTATTGCCGGCCGGTTTTAATTGGATCGATTGATTTTTTTTCACACCCCTAACTAGAACCGACCGATCCAATTAAAACTGACCGGCAATAATCAGACATCCAATTTGAATGATTAAGTCCTTGAATTATTTTTTTAAATGAAAACCATTAAACTTTTTCATTTTAAACGATTAAGTTCTCGAACTATTTTTTTGAATGAAAAAATCATTAAATTTTCTCATTTTGAATAATTAAGTTTGTATACATCTTTTTTTCAATAAAATAAATCATCGAACTTTTAAAAATTGATTATTTACATCAACTATTAGTAACTGATTAGAAAGATCTTAAAGTAACTACTTGTAACCCTCTAAAAGTAGATCAAAAGTAGGGAGATTGATGACATGGGCCAACTGTGTGATAAACGAAATGAAGAACGGACAATGATAGGGCGACAGTGAGTGCGCGGGGAAGAGTGAAACCGTTGTTTGCGAGGGATTTGGAGGGTATAGGATTTGGAAATGTTAAAAAAGATTTAAGTTTTTTTTTTTTACTTTAAAACTTTTTTAGTCAGTTATATATAGTTTTCTTTTTGTTAAAAGAATGTAGGCAACCAATTTTTAAAAGTTCGATAGTTTTATCACAAAAAGAAAGTTCAATGACTTAATAATTCAAAATGAGAAAGTTTAATGATTTTTTCATTCAAAACAATGGTTAAGAGACTTAATCATTCAAAATAAGAATTTTTTTATAGTTTTTTTAAATAAAAAAACCAGTTTAAATACTTAATCATCCAAAATTAAATAGTTCCTTGGATTTTTATGAGTTTTCTCTTTAAAATAGGCAATAGTCTGTTTAATTTATTTATTTAGTTAAAATTGAAAAACAAGAATTATATACGATATAATATACAGTTTTTACAAAATAATATTTTAGATCGGAAACAATTGAAAAATAGATTGGATTGGAGTTGAAAATAGGGGTGCTCAAAATAACGACCAATCCGACCAATCCAACCCGAAAAAACTTAAAAACCCTCAAATTAGACCAAACCACATCTATTGGGTTAAAATTGGGTTGGGGTAATTTGAATTCAAATCAACCCGATGAACCTGATGCCTTTTCGATACTATGAATTTAATATGGTTGTCAAAGCCTTGATTAATATAAACATTAGACATTAGAGCAACCCGTAATTAGTTATATTCAAAATTATATTATAATTTTAATCATAGTTGTACTTTCTTATTTGCATGAAATTTCAACCTTTTTTTGAGTCTATTAGCATTTTTTATATGTTTTCATTTTAATTTTATCGTTTAAACAAAATGTTTAGCTACATTATAAAATGATGTATCAATAATTTAACCCGACCAACTCAACCCAATCCAGATAGTTTGAATTGAGTTGGATTGTAGTTTTGATTGAATTGGATTGAGGGTAGTTGAAAATTGGGTTATTTTAAATGAACGAAGGTTGGATTAGGCATGGCAACGGGACGGGGATGGAGCATGTTTTGTAATCCCGACCCCAGTTTGAAGTAACATTCCCCGTCATTGGCCCTGGTCCCAAACAGGTACGGGGATTAACATCTAGTCCCTGGTCAAACATATATCAATCCTTGATCAAACCCCATAAATAATATCCTTTTAACTTGATTCTATCGGGGATCTCCGGCCCCGGTTTGAATAACATCCCCGGTCCTAGTCCTGGTTTGAGTCTACTGATCCTGGCCCGGCCCGTCCCCGGCCCCAGATCTAGGACCCGTTTTAGCAGAGAATCCTCGGCTCCGTTCAGGTTGGGTGAACCGGATCCCACCGGGTCGGGGCAAATCACCATCCCTGTGTTAGACCCGATTGTCGTTAAATACAGGTTCCGGGTCGGAGGATATCGTCATTCCCTCTCCCTGTCTCCCGTATTCCTTTCTTGCAGAAGAATCAAGCCTGCAAGGCATTCCACATTTTTATCTAATCAGTGAATACAATTTGGAATTCAGGATCCCCCATTGTAACACCAGGTAGCTCTTTCTCTCTCTCCCTCGCTTAAAATCGTTAATTGTATCTAGCATCTTCTTCAGTATCTTGACCCCCAAGGCTTCCTTCTTTGGCATCTTATTGATTCGTTCATTGTTGTTTTATGAATTCTGGTATGTTCATGTGCCTAATTTCTTCAGATATGGGCGGAAATGGCGACAAATATACTTGATTGTTATGTCTTGCTGGATCCATTGTCATGGCTGCGATCCTTTAATGTCCAAATTTTATTCTATTCGAACTGGAAAAGAAGAAATTGAGATTCAGAATTAAGTGTTTTACTTGATGATGATCGGTTTATATCATTTGTGTGAAAAATTATTTACGATTGATGGATCCCCTCTACTTTTCTTACTCTATTACTTGTTAATCACTGTTACTAAATTTAAAATTTTACGATCTCTTTTTGATATCTTCATCATGTCTATGAGTCCAATTCCAGGTGCATTGCCACCTGTCTGCTTGTGTTGTTAATATGTTCATTTGTTACAAGCGTTCTTGTAAAATACTAGAAGAGGAACAATGGAGCTAAGTGCTAATGTACTTTTTCTCAGCGGTGTTTTTACCATGTCATTGAACAATAAAAAAAAAATATATGTTTGAAAACAAGTGTTGATGAGAGCAATTTTTTTGATAAAATAGTCCCACTTTGGTCAATTTTGTCCCACCTTTTCTGGTGGGACAAAAATGCACCAATTTTGTTCCATCTTGTCCCAATCAAAATGTGGGACAAATCCTTTTTGTCTCGTCCCTTTCTGTCTCGTCCCTATACCAAACACAACCTTAATGCCAAAACCCATAAAATGTGGTGTTTGGGATAATACACTAAAAAAGAAAGAAAAAAATCGAAGTTCCAAGTCAGAATCAAATTTCTAACAAAAGAATCTTTGAATGGTAGCGAGTGTTCTGCATTGACTGCAACCTCAATCTGTTTTTCATTGTTTTTCTCATGCCTTGTACTGGTGTAGTGTTTGCAGACATGGTTTCTTCTCAAAGTGAAAGTGGTTTATTGAGCTCTGAAGGAGATTCTCAGAGAACACAGTATGTATACTCTTCTATCCCTACTGTATTAAGAATATATTTTGGTGTAACAGAGAATCTAACGAAGAAGTTTTATCTTGAGTTTTAAAGCAGTAATTACGCTTAGCAACATCATCAAATGATGCGTGTAGGATTTAACAAGTTCATAATTCTGTGCTAATAGAAAGGGATACTTGGCTATGTGATAAAACATATGGTTTTTTAAACCAAAAGATTTATGGTTCTTTTAACACCGACAAGTTCTTTTTATTTTTGCTATGCGTTGATTCTTTTTTAAACAGGTACCCATATGTTACAGGCACGTCTGTAATTGGGATAAAATACAAAGATGGTATCCTCATGGCTGCCGACATGGGAGGTTAGATACTCGATTTTTGATCACCTTCATATTTTTGTTGTCAAATTCATTGATTTTTAGGATGAGTACTTGATGAAATGAATCTGGGATTGCATGTTTATGGAATCTATTGTGTGACTGAAGAAGTCTGTATTTTCTGAGCATGAAGATGCTTCAAAACTGCATTGATTGGTTATAGCTTTTTCCACAGATACCATTTGAAACACTAGGTGGACTACATGTGTAATTTATTGATACTATTATTTAGGAAGTCGATCTTGAACATAACCGATGTGTATTTGATATTTTTAAAGTAATTTGTTTGAACTCTCAAATAAATCTGTCTGACACCATCTCCCCCTTCCTCGGCCTGTAAACTGCAGCATGGAAGAAATCATAAAGTCCATGTAAATCTATACATGAGCTGTTGGTTATAGTATATTCTGAATTGAAGTAAAAGGAGTATTTAAATTGAGAATTATTTTTGCATATATCCCTGGGTGTCCATGGAATCTGTGGATAAATTAAAAAATAGAGTACCTACAAATCACAGGTACTTTTGCACCAAGCCTGTTGGATGCACAGGCCTGTTAGGTTACTCGTCGATGCACAGGCCTGTTAGGTTACTCGTCGATGCACCTGTCCACCCATGTTGCCAGGTCCACTAACAAGGTTAATGACTTGTTAAGTTCTCCATTTGACGTCAAATAGGTGAATTTTAACTTACAAATTGATACAAATACTTAAAAGTTAGTGAGAAACTAGCAAGACACGTTCCGTGCAGGTTAGTTCACCAAATGGTAGAAAGTGACTTCACACTGTGTTACTAGAATGCCTCATAGAGCATAAGTCATTGGAACTAAAGAGAACAAATGAAAGGCAGATTTTGTTTGTATTGTCATTGAAATGCATAAATAGTTTAAACAATACGGTGAGAGGGAAGCAAAGCTAATGAAATTAAGATATGAAAGGTATCATAACTGATCACCAAATCCAAAACATTGTAGCTAATCTTCATTCACCAATAAAAACATGTAAATCAAATTTCAACTACTAACAAGGGAAACTAAAACAAATGTGTTGATAATATTACCTATAATGGTGGCGGTCAAGAGAGGATGGTATCAGTTAGCAAAACGTAGAATTTTAGCATCCTGGTTTGGTACACTAATGAAATGCCCACCCTATGACATGGGTGTCTTTATGCTACAAAATACAATGGACTAAGCTATATTAAACGTGAAGCAAGGTAACATATACATTAGTTTCATTCAACATATAACAGAAGCTAAGATAAGGCAATTGATTCTCCTTTTTTGCTGAACACATATCTGAAAATTCAGTCTCCAACTTAGTTCCTGACAATTTAGTCCATTGCTTACCTACATGTGGAATAAAAAGCCAAGAATAACATAACAGTTCACTTCAATAATAATGGCCAACACCATACATATTTCATCTTCTAGAAGCACTTGGATGGCTATGGTTAGAATAGATCGAATTAAGGCCTGTAAGTGAAGTATCCCCCTTTCACCAGGAAGCATGGTTTGTCAATGTTTATCAGGTGCCATACATCTATTGTGCTTGCTTGCGGAATTTTAGAAAAAGAAAATATTTGGGTGTGGCATGTGCATGATATATATATATATATATATATATATAATGCACTTTATGGTGAATAGAGTAAAAGATAATTTGAGAAATGAAAAGGGTAGAATTTAAACTCATACAAATAAATCAAATTAGTTATAGTATAGTTGTTATAACAAGATGGACATTGCACGTAAAGGATTGCTCATCACAATCAATACGTAATGGAAATAGAATTAGAAGAAAATGCATAGACCGAAACTAGTACGTAATGGAAATAGAGTTAGAAGAAAATGCATAGACCGAAACTAGTCCTCATAGTGATACATTAAAATACTTTCTTCGATTGCAATTCATCATCATCACAACCACCATTGGTTAAAAGGACTTTTAATTTGGTTTGCCATGTAAAAGTTAAAAAGAAATAGATAAAAATAGGGATATCAGATATTCAGATGAAGATAGGTTGCTTATGTGCACCCAACAAGAATACGACACCCTCACTCAGTTATTGGTGCTTCCTAGCTCTTCTGCCAGCATACAGTATTGAATCAATCAGGAATCTAATTAAAGAGTAATCAGATTCCATAGTTACTTTTTCAATCCTAAAAGTTGATCAGATCTATGGATGATTATTGGAGCAAAGCAACATTCTTCACAAATTAGAAGTGAAAGTATAAAGACTTCCCTGTTTGGCATGCTCAATTAGCCAGCCATTCACTACATTTTGATTTTCTGTGAATTCTTCTTCACTGTTCTTTTGCCATCTGATCTTTGCCTTCACAGGGTCCTACGGATCCACTATACGCTATAAGAGTGTGGAGCGATTGAAACAAGTGGGCAAACATTCTCTCCTTGGTGCAAGTGGAGAAATCAGTGATTTCCAAGAGATTCTACGTTACCTTGATGAACTTATGTAAGTATCCATTTTAACTTTTTGTTTCCAAGAGCAATGTTTGAAGCGTTCTAATATTTGTTAGTGATTTTTGAATCTGCTGATGGTGATCCATTTAAGCGTAAATAGCAAGTTCTGACCACTGACTACCGCTTTATACAGCTTGCATGACAATATGTGGGATGATGGGAATTCACTTGGTCCGAAAGAGGTGCACAATTATCTAACCCGAATTATGTACAACCGTCGGAACAAGTTCGACCCATTATGGAATTCGCTTGTTCTTGGTGGTGTAAAAAATGGGCAGAAGTATCTAGGATCTGTAGGTTACTGGACCCTACCTTCTTTTTTCTACTTGCCCTTATTTTCTCTAGAAGGACCTCCAGTGGGGGTTATTTAGCTAAATGACCTCACAAGTGCTTTATAAATCCATGATCTTGTAACAAGAATATAGGAATTCTTAGTTGCATTATTTTGTTAAGCAGTGACATTCTCAAACCTATCAGAATGTCGTGGATTTAAAAAACCGTCTGAAGGTCATTTAACCAAAGAACCGCCTCCAAAGGGTGGTGTATACCTTTTCCTCTACCGCTTGTATACACCCTGTTGAGCTTCTTGCTTATCTTCTTTTTTAGATTGTATGTTTTCATTTAACCAAAGAACCGCCTTCATGTTATTTGTCATTTATATGTATGCAGGTTAGCATGATTGGCGTACACTTCGAGGACAGTCATGTTGCCACTGGGTTTGGTAACCATCTTGCCCGCCCAATTCTTCGTGAAGAATGGAGGGAGGACTTGAGTTTTGAAGAGGGTGTCAAGTTATTGGAGAAATGCATGCGTAACCTTCTATACCGTGATAGGTCGGCCGTCAACAAGCTTCAGGTATATGTACATTTCACAATTCCTCAAGTAATCTGTTGACATATCGGATTTATGTTGCATGTTTCTTTTTCTATCCTTGTTTGTTATGATTTTCTTGTACCTGCTTCTGTTTAAATGTTATTGCTCACTTGTACCTAGATTTTCATAATTTATCATATCTGCCTTTCTCTCTTTTGCACACATTTCACAAGTCGGGGGCATACATGGAAACAGCCGCTCTACTCTTTGGTGTAGAGCTCAGGTATGCGTACATCTTGCCCGACATCCGGGTGGGATATCCTAGGCTCGTTTGGTTACTGCATATTTGTGAAGTATGCTTCATAAGCTTGTTATACATGCAATCCCCAACTCTACTGAAGCACATTGATATTTAAGAGGCCTCTACCTAACACAAGAATGTCTCAAAATCTATATGCGTATTAAAAGTATGTTACACAACAAGGTTATTCTCCTAAATAACCCTGGCATTCCCGATAACAGATTGCAATGACTAAAAAGCCCTTCCATGATCCTCGTTTTTCATTCTGATTATTGCTTGATGTTGCAAAACGGAATTACACGGGCATTTGCTTTTCATATGGAAAATCTTGTGACGACATAGGGCTTGTTTTTGCTTATTCTTTACAGAAAGGGAAGTATGGGTTTCTATACTCTTCTTTTCTTTTGGTCATCTTCGTACGTAAACATGCTAGTGAGTTTTACGAGATATGATTATTAGCACCTGCCTGCGATAAGCATAGATTTTTGCTTTTCGGTTTTGTGAATCGGTATGAAATTATGTAAAAAGTTTAAAATTTGAAATGACAGATAGCGAAGATCACAGAGGACGGGTTAACAATCTCTCAGCCATACTCTTTGAAGACTTTCTGGAATTTTGGTGCTTTTCAGAACCCGACAGTTGGTGCTGAGGGATCATGGTAGGAGGAGAAACACGATCGGTTTCACATGTTACTGCGAATCTGGATCGTTTTTCTTTGATGTTCTTGTTTGCTTACTATCGTTTTCGCATGGTATGGTATTCTTTCAGAGATCTATTGTTAGTTCATGTACAATTCCACCTCCATTATTAGTTCCTTTAAATCCTTCTGCCCACTTTCAGTTTCAACCATTTTTCTTGATGCCTTTAAACACAAACAACACTTGTGACTTTAACCATATTAGTTCCCAGTACCTTTAACCTTAGAGATGGCTAAGTGGGCCCTGCTCGGCATGGGACCGGCGGAGGACCACGACCTGGACTTTGGGACCGCCGGTTGAGGACCAGTTACACTTTTCATCCAAAAACAAGGCCTGGACCTGTTATTGTCCCGGCCCGATTTTTTTTAAAGAAATGTTACGTTTTTATGGCCGTTTCCGTTGGAACGGTCATATGACCCCCCCCCCCCCCCCCCCCCTCATTTTTGACCATTATTTTGGTCTTATTGACCTTTTATACACAATATATATAAGTCATATGGTGTATGAGGGAAGATACCAACTCATAAATGCAAAAAAAAGCTCACAATTCTGACTATAATTCGTGATTTCGAGTCGTATTTGATTTCCATTTTTAACAAATGATAATAAAACGTATTTTAAAGTGTATTATAATAACATTTTTGTATTTTAAAGAAAAAATTATATGTAAAAAATACTTTTTCTAAATATTCTAGTGAATTAGTTTCAACTTATTTTGGCTTTTTAATCGAGACGAGGACTAGTTACGAAAATAGTGTTTAAAACTGGAACCGATTTAGGCTCGACTGGCCCTGTAATTGATTTTTGACCATCACTATCTAACCTTATGCTCATTGGTCCACAAATATTCTAGTGAATTAGTTTCAACTTTTTTTTTAAAGTATATAAAATTTATATACGGCAAATAGAACAAATAAACTAATACAATCTCCTCATCTTTGATGAAATTTGAACCCTTGACCTCTTAGAAGGCCAAGGACTCGCATACCGCTAGGCCAAAGGCTATTTGGTTAGTTCCAACTTGTGACCATCTCTTTTGGTCATATTTTTAAGGAAATAATTGTCATGTTAACCCATTTTTTTATTTCGAATCTAAGGAGGAATAAAAATCCCTTTATGGTCACGAAGGTTCAAATGTGGTGATTCCGGGCAACCCGCAAAATGGGTGGTCGTCCTAGGATTAGTCGGCTCGTACAGCGGATCAGATGTCGAGGTTAATAAAGAAAGCAATAAAAAGAAAACTATAAAGAGATTGCATACCTAATTATCATAATAGCATTTATAACACAAATAATATCTCAGGGTCCGTTTACCTATTACTAGGCAATGTAACATTTTCACTTAACTTACCAGATAAAATTTTAGTATATTAAAAACAATATCGTATGCAACAATTTATACAGTAAGTGATTACTTGGTAAGAGATGTAACTCTCATTTATCGGGTAAAAATCTTGGTCCTTATTATTATTCTTATTGGGTAAAATTTTCAATCTTTATCATATTTATCAAATAAAGTAAAAGTAATCCCGTAAACACTTATTGAGTAAGCATTTAGTAAACTGATCCCTTAATCTAGTTATAAAATTTAGCATCTAATACGAGATTGCAATTGCATACCTAGTTATTTTTGTCTACTTCATTTATAGATGTTACAATGGAAATAACCCATTTTTTATTTCATGTTTTAAATGTCGGATATTAGTTTAAACTTTAATTAATTTTTTGTTTGCTTATACTTTGACTTTTAGGTGTTCTGATAGCTTCAAAGTATAATGTAATATTGCATATTCTAACTATGTAGTAGTAGCAGCAGGTAGTATAACGCTCTTACCACTTCAGTCAAGTCCGCAACCATGGTACGCACACGTTGCTATCACAATTGGACATGTTAATAATAATCAATCGGTTAGAGTAGGATTAACATGAGGGTATCCAATGCCTACTCTTATGCCACAATGGGTTCATATCATATATGATTACGCATCAGCATGAACCACCTTTCTAACCAGACATGTCAAGTCAACCACCTGGTCGCACACCGGTTGGTTATCCACCTAGACGAAACAATTATAACAGTAATCTAACGAGTAAAACATGCTCTTGTGTTGGCAATTCAATCCAATCCAATCCAACAAGGTGGAATTTACAGTTTCTTTATGAACAATTTCTACACAATTTTGAGAATCTAATTGACCAAAAAAAGAGTTGTAGATATCTTATGGCCTTCAGCAACAGCCATTAGTTGATGCATTTGAAACTGGAGGCTTCTGTCTTAATATGTTTCTTTGGACAGTCGCTGACCCCTCAGCAATAAGACTGGGTGTATCCAAAATCTGCAAATTTATATTCATGCAACTTAAAGCCATAGGAAAACCCAATTACGTAGATGCAATGTGTTTATAGACCAAACTAAACAACTCCGTATACATCATATGTAACGGTGGGGTCATTTAGGAGAATAACCTTGTAACGGGTTTTCTAATTTTTTTTTAAATATTTGCTCTTCTGGCAGATTTAAAAACGTTAATTGCCTCAAAATGCGTCAAAAATAAGGTTATTTACCACGGACGTGGGGTGGGAAGGTGGGGTGTATAAGACTTGACCTCTATGCATAAACCAGTTCAAAATGGGATTATGAAGCCGGTAAAAGTTTAGGCTTTTGGTTCAAATATACCTTCAAAACAAGTTCCTCAAAACATTGCCCCACGTTGACCCGAGTTTTTGCACTGCATTCGATAAAAAGGCATCCATATTCCCTGGCAAACTCGATTCCCTCCTTTTTTGTGACAACCCTTTCGCTTTCCTGCAAAAGGGATGAAAATCTACGGTTAAAAGAATCGAAAACAAATGGCTTAGGATAAGAGGTTAGCTTAAGCTATATGATTCCGAAGGTGGAAAAACAAGACAACCGACGTGGAATGGGAATGGGAATGAGTGCCATATAAGGGAATGGGAATGGGAATGATTCATTCCCCTATTGAGGAATGCTTCATTATCCAACATCTAGTATTAGGACTAACCAATTCCATTACATTAAATCAGACATCATTAATGACATCCTTTTCCATTTCCATTTCCATTTCCATCCCCATTCCCCAACCCCTATTATGCCCAATTAAGCTGCTTTTTCTAATGTATGAATCAAAAACTAACTGTCTAATTCTACTGATTTAGTTATAGACTTGAATAGAAATATACTGAGCCATAAACACATCCCCACCCCAAATGCTTTATTTATGTAGAATTTTCGACGTATCCTTGTAACAGATATAAATTATATATTATAAATAACTTTCTATGCTATATGGTTTACCTTGTCGACTTTATTACCAACGAGCATCTTGATGCAATCTTGATTTGTTGAGTGCAAGTCGATTTCTTTTGCCCAAATATCAGATAAATTTGTGAAGGTTTCTCGTCGTGTTACATCATAAACTGCTTGAATATGTCACAAGAAGTAAGTACTGAATAAACATCAACTCAAATATATAACTTGTACTGTAATGATACATCAACAAAAGGTTATTTGCACAACGGTCTCTAGGTTACCGATAGATTCCAATCTCCAAGTAGTAAAGTGTTCAAACTTCACCTTTTGTGAGGAGTGTGCGTGAGTTTTGTGTGTGTGTATATATAGGAGCATATAATCAAATGAGAACCATGAAAAGTTTTACCTTAAGATATTGTTCATATGATTTTATTTTTCATATGAGGCTAAGACTTAAGACTTTGGTATTAATTAACGTATATTTGTTTCACAAACGTGTTTGTTTCATATGTATTTGGTTCACAAGATGAAACAATTTTTAGTGTATATATGCTAATTAATACCTTAAATCTTTACCTCAGATGGAGAATAAAATCATGTGAAATAGCACATGATATACTGGTTCTGAGGATTCTCACATTTTTGTAGGGTTTTCAAATGATTAGCCCTATATATATATATACACACACACACACACAGAGAGAGGTGTCCAGGGGAAAACCTCAAAAAGATGAAAAACTGGCTGGTAAGCGTTCATCTAGACTATATGCACATGTGCATCTAAATAATTGAAGCTGCTTTTTATTTTATGTATGTGTACATGTTATGCACCTATGTATACCGGGTATATATATAGGATCAGGTTCAGGGGAAACAAAAAAAAAAAAAAAAAAAAACTGAGGAACACCCTGATAACCATTCATTTGGACCATATGAACATATGCATACAAGTAGTTTGTAAGCAATTTTTCCGGTACGCACATGTGCATAACATGCATACGTACATAAAAACTAAAGAAACAACTTCAATTACTTGTATGCACATGTTTATACCATCGAGATGAATGATTATTATAGTGTTCCTCAATTTTTCATTTTTTAGGGTTCTTCCCTAACCCCCTCTCTATATATGTTATATACTTAAAAAAGAAGAAGAGTATTGATGAGACTACAGATGGATAAATCTAGAGACCCAAGTTGAAGAAACATAACCCTCACAAAGGAATCATCACATTTTAACTAATATTTCAAATAACAACCATATGGCAATGGAATTGCAACCAAGGAATAAATTCTTTTCATTCTGTTCTAACTACAATCATAGACTTCCTTTATAGGATTATATAAAACGACGACAAAATATGTATGATGACATCATTGTTAGAGATTTCTTTCACTTAAAAAGTATGATAGGAGCCATCATGTGAATTTTCCTAATATGGCATGGCATGGCATGAGTGAAATTTCTTCACAAACCAAACCAAATAAGCACAGAATATCCCATCCAGAGGTGGGGCCACTGGAGGGCGGGGAGAAATATACGCAGATCTGATCTCTACTTAGAGAGTCGAGTGGTTGTTTATGTGAAGACCTCCAACTAGTATAAAGGGTGTGAAAAAAAGAAAGAGACATATATTAGATATGTTTAAATAATAACAATTCAAATAGAAAGAAAGAACGACATATATGATAGATTCCTTCACAAACTAAGCATGGGGCTTAGGGGCCGTTTACCAATGTCAACCAGGTAGAGTCACCACCCTCACCAGGTAAGATTCTTGGCCTTTAAAATACGTAGTGAGATTGTTATTAAACTAGGGTAAAAGTCACCACTCTCACCGGGTAAGATTCTTGGTTCTTCCCATACTCACCCAGTAAGGTAAGTAACCGGTTAAGCACTGACTCAGTGGAGTTTCGATACACGGTCTCTTCATTAGTTAGTAGGAGTTGGAATCGTCGTTCAATCGAGTAACCTTCTAAAACATGTCAAATTGGTGAAGGACCCTATCGTGTGTTTGCCTTTTGTTTTGGTACTTAAGACTCATGAAGGAGAAAATGTTGCTAAACGAAGTGAACTCTTATACCATCATCATATAACAACTGTAAGGGGCCATTTGTCAAATGCTTATTGGGTAAGCGCTTGCCAACAAAAGTTACCACTCTCATTTACCTTATCGGATAACATTCTTAGTCATTAAAATGAATTGTTGGTAAGCGTGTTTTAGCGCTTACCAGACAAGAGTTTTATCCCTTACTTATCGGGTATGATTCTCGTTCCTTATTATGTCTTTTACCGGGTAAGATTTTCGGTTCTTGACATTCTCACCTATTAAGTGCTTACCCAGTAAGCATGTGGTAAACAACCCCTAAGTAAATACTTCATCTGCCCCATTATAAATGCCCACAATAAAAAACATAGTACTAATAATTTTATAATTATTACACTTTTTAAGTAACTGCATGACAACTTTACCATTAATTAACTTCTCCATCTCATCAATCTTAAATACTTGTGCGTCGTAATTATGGATAGAGTTGGAAATTTGGTAAAAATTCAAACCATATATCTTTTAAAGTGGACACTTATTTGGTACAAACTTAAATAGAACTGTGAACACTTGTTTTATGACAGAGTGAGTATATATTATTCAAACTACATAAGAGGAGCACGCACGCGGGGTACGAAAAGGAAAATGAGCAGAAGGGATTCACTTACCCATTATAATTCCTTGTGCTCCTCTATAATATGAACTAGTTAGCGTTCTGAATCTTTCCTGCCCAGCTGTAAAATAATAAGTTAGATAACTTCTATTTGATAAATAACAGTCTCCTTTAGGGTGCGTTTGGTAAACAGACAGGACAAGACAGAACAGGACAGGACAGAACAGGACAGGACATGACATGACAGGTGTTCAACGTTTGGTAAGACAGGACAGGACATGACAGAACAGGACCGAACTGGTTAAAATGACCAATTTACCCCCAGTGACATTTCAAGTACATAACTACATATCAGACGAAACAATAGGCAAAATCGAGTGTGTTGAGAAACAGTAGGCAAAATCGATTTATCAATCCAAACAGTAGGCAAAATCGATTTATCAATCGAAATAGTAGGCAAAATAGTAGGCAAAATCGATTTATCAATCGAAATAGTAGGCAAAACAGTAGGCAAAATCGATTTATCGATCGAAACAGTAGGCAAAATCGATTTATCAATCGAAACAGTAGGCAAAACAGTAGGCAAAATCGATTTATCGATCGAAACAGTAGGCAAAATCGATTTATCGATCGAAACAGTAGGCAAAATCGATTTATCGATCGAAACAGCAGGCAAAATCGATTTATCGATCGAAACAGCAGGCAAAATCGATTTATCGATCGAAACAGCAGGCA